CTTTATTAATTAAACTAAAAGGTAAATGTTATTCCTAGTAAAATTTTTAAAGTGGAAGTAGTTGTGTTTTTTTCATATTATACCCAATTGTTTTTCAAACAATTTTAATCTAAGAATCCGATATTTGCAATACTTATGCATAATAGGGCCTGTGAATACAAATAAAGCGTTGAAACATACCCAAAAATATAAACCATAATTTGTGAGAATGAAAATAAATTAATTAATTTATGCTTGTAAACTGTTCATTATATTACGTTACTTATACTATTGTTATTAAAAATATATAGATAGCAAGAAACAACTAAAAAATGGCGATGTAACTTATTACAATGTTACGAACTAATGTAATTGCAGCTTTTTATTAAAATATTTCATAACATTAAAGTTTTTAAAAAAAGGAAAAGAATAAAAAACAATAATTAGTAATCAATAAAACTAATTTAGTGCGATTACAATAGCGCCAACTCACTGGCACTTAAGATGTCTTCAGTGGTGGTCTGTCCAGACATTTTGTAAAAGGTCCGTTTTTGTAAAATTGTGAAAAAATTACTCGTAATTTGTGAATATAAAATAAACCTTAAGTCACATTCTTTTAACCAGGGCCGGTTTTTATGAATTTGTGCTAATAGGGTCCGGTTATTGCAAAAACTTTTTTACAACAAGAAACTTTTTTACAACAACATTACAAACAAGGAGTTCTTAAATTGTAAATAGATACAAGATTATGCTAATCACTGTAAAATTATAATTAAAAAAATAAATAAACAGCAATTGCTGCTTCTAAATTAGAGATGCAACATACAAATATTTGGTATTTAGCCTATACTGCTGAACGCAGAATACTCATTTCGGACGAATAATAGAAGAATCGTCTGCGGAAGACAAAACTTAACTCGTTTACATCCATCTTTCTTGTTTCCCCCCCTGGGAAGGGTTTTTTCGATTAACAAAACAATAATGAAGATAAACAAATTTGTGAAGGGTCCGATTAAGAGAAAAATCATTATGTGAAGGGTCCGTTTTCAAGTCAAAATATTTTGTGAAGGGTCCGTTAACGGACCCAAATGTCTCCTAAACAGACCCCTGGCCCTAAAGATTAAAAATACCGTAATATTTTGTTTCATTCTGAAACTTAGTACTGGAGGTTAATGTATTTGTAATAAATAATAAAAATGAAACAAACATTTTAGAGGTTTACAAATAAAAGAATTTATTTCTAGAAAAAAAAAAATATGTACACATACTGTATTGTTTTCATGAAACATGACCAGAAGAAGAGAACATTTAATTTCCATATTCATATGTATATTATGTGCAATAGAGTTTATATTTACAATCACACTTAGGTTCACATGCTATGCAAACTGCATTCATAGATTTGCTACGAACAAAATACTGAAAATTTACATTCATAGTATTTGAAGAAGTCATAACAAATAAATTATCTTAATTTTAAACAACCATATAATTAGTATGCCGATTTGATTAGGTTAAGTAAAATAAAATAACAGCTGAAGAGCTCCGTGAAAAAACATGTTAAGTGAAATTAAGAAAGCATCCAAATTTAAGGGTTGATGAACATATTATGATCTGCTGTGTAGCTTTATATTGTAAAAACACTCCTATTTGCGTATATTATAATCGTCTGTGTTTATCGAACATTAATTTATTCCTAAACAATAGGAAATTTTTTATAAAAGGAGATATATTTTGAAGACAGTTTTCGATTTAAAAAAAAAATTATTAACATGTTATTTAACAAGTTCATGTGAACATGTTTAGTGAAATCATGATAACACTTAAATTAATCGACTTAATAAAAATTATTATAGCTCATTGGTTCAGTTAAACACTATATTATTATGTAAAATAAATAAATAAAACGATATTATTTTACATAATATCTTATGACTTTTGGCATGTTTTTTCATAAAGCTCTTAAATTATAATACTTTATAATAAAACCAATGCTTATTGTAATTTCAATCGAAATATAGAGTAATATAAATTATGTTTTCATCATATTTTATTAATTATAAATAATAATCAATCATGTTAATTAAATAAATCTCACCTATTTAGGCAAACATGAATATTTATTACTATTTTTTTCTTCATAAAACATCTAAAAAGTAATTTTGTAACATGTAATAAATAAATTTATATTTATATATCAACACAATTTCAATCAGGTATAGTCATAAAAAATTAATAAATATATTTTATTTAAAATTCACCATTTTTCAAAACTAAATTTGCCAGAGAATAAAATTAATCTCTTAAAAATAACACCGAGTACGTACGTGCATTTGGGTCGAATTGTTCAAACTTTTACATTATGATGTTAAAACTTAATAATTGAATTTATATAATGTTGCTAATGATCTAGTAATTAAACTCAATTTTTAATATTTAAATTCACTATTTTTGTAAAAATAAATCTGCTATAGAATAAAACGAATTTGTTAATAATAACTCAGAGTATGTGAATTGAGGTTTAATTATTCTGATAGTTCTATTACTTATATCATATCACTGCTTTTAATAATTTAATTAAAATAATGTTGCTAAAGAACAATTTTTAATATGAATTGTTCAATCAACTAAAGTAGAAATTGCTCACTTAAAATGATAAATTTCACCAAATAAGATTTCACAATTTGTGTAAATAAGATTATAAAGAATTCATAGAATAATGAATCATGTATTTATTGAATGCCAATAATTTATGTTTAAAAAATAATATAATTACAAGAATCTAAAAATTAATTAACGTCCCTAAAATCATCATTTCAAATGTTGATACTATAATAATCATTTTTAGTTCAAAGGCTTTTAGATTTCACATTTAATATAGCCATTTCTTATCTTTTTAATTCAAATGGTGCCTTAATTCAACAGAATTCACCATGTAAAGGTTTAAAATGCACAGAAAGAAGAACGAAAAATAATTTAATGCACATTAATTATTAAATAATTTTAATGTATATACTATAATTTTAATATATAATAGATATACTATATACTTATTGTATTAAGTACATTTTGCAAAAAANAAAAAAAAAAAAAAAAAAAAAAAAAAAAAAAAAAAAAAAAAAAATGTGCATCTTACACTATTTTAAACGATTAAATTGTTAAATCTAAAGATTAAAAATGTTTAGTAATAATGCAGAAAAAGCATTACTAATCATCAAAATAATAATTATTTGTAATATTAATTAAAATTTAATACTGCTAACTTTCTTAGCAGTTAGGTATGTTATACAATTTAACTAAAATATATTTTTGAACCTCTTTTTTTATGGTAATCGGAAATGCAATTTTTTTTGCGATAAAATTGCACAATTAGTAGCAGATAAAAATCACAAATATAGAAACTAATTATCATCAGAACTTTACAAATTATGAGCAACTATTTAATAAAAAGAAATTTAAAAAGATTCAATATATTGATTTCACCATAAGAACTTAAAATGAAGACTCAGAAAATAAATTATGTTCCTGAGATTGCACTTGCGAAAAAGGTTTGATAAAAACCGCGGTTTTCCGGTATCATCAGGCACCGTCTAAAATATTTATATCGATTGCATTAAATGTTGCACAAAGAAACTAAAATAGATATTTATCTCCACAGTTAATAACTTCTACAACATTTATCCAAACAAAATTGACTATCCATTAGAAGAAAAAAAAAGTATGTGTACGTATAATACGTTTAATCTGTGTTTAACCAATTGTAAAGTCAACTATTGTAGTATGAATAGTTTAATAGATCAAAGCGATAAAATAAGCCAAATATCGTCCTATTAAGTCGTGATGCAATGACAAACAATGATATACTTTGTTTTGCTATGTTAAATTTGTAAAAGAAACCGGTTTCTAAAATATGTAAACTATTATATGGTGATATCTACGTTTATTAGTGAAATTATTAATGTGTCTAAATGTAAAAAGGATGTAAATTTTTTATTTTTGTTATATTGTGAGCACAAATATTAACTTGCAACATGGCACAAAGACTAAACAGTAACAAAGTAAATTTTTAAATAACAATGGTAGGTATAAAACAATAACTGCATCACATATCTTAATAGAGGAAATGCTCTATTAAGATAGAAGGGATCGAACATTATGCAAGGAATATGTTTATGTAAGTAAAGAATTAATAGATACTCCTGAAAACAATGTGTAAAAATCGTTAGTGTAATTTTTTTAAAGAAATGATTACAGTTATCAAATTAATTCTTTAATAAATGAATAAAATAAATTCTTTATTAAATGAGTTAAATTTATAAAACTAATTCTTTAACAAGTGGATAGTTATTTTAATTTGAGTATCAAGAAATGGATGATAGTAAGATATTTAATTATTTCTAAAAATGGATCAAGTTAATTCTTTAAATAAATGGGTAAAATTAATGAAGGTAGTCCTTTATTAAATGGATAACAAGAATAAAGAATTTAATTCTGAAAAAAAAAAAAAAAAATGGNGGATGATAGTAAGATATTTAATTATTTCTAAAAATGGATCAAGTTAATTCTTTAAATAAATGGTTAAAATTAATGAAGCTAGTCCTTAATGGATAACAAGAATAAAAAATTTAATTCTGAAAAAAAAAAATGGTGAATAGAATTTAAAAATTAAGCAAGAAAGGGTTAATAGTTATCAAATTAATTCTTCAATAAATGGATAACAGATATTCAAGAGACACTATTGAATAGGAATAAATAATTAATTTTAAGAAAAGTATTAAAAGTAATTTTGAAATTGCTTTCATTCAGATTCTTTCTTTAAGGAAATTTCTAAGGAAGATAAAAACGCAGTTAAAAGAACAATATTGCTAAAGATTGAATGATTGATATTAGATTAACTGTGTTTTGTTAAGCAATTTAGTTTAAAAAAACATTTATACTGAAAATAATTGAACATTTACTGAGCAACAAGACATAAACATATTCCGTGCGTAAATTATCACTAATTTTTTTTAAATCTATTAAGGGGACACTTCAGGTTCAAAATGATGTTTTTTAAATATCAACCAATTTTAATGAAAATTTCATAGATTGTGAATAAAGCATTTAGAAAGATATTCCCAAAATTTGAAGCAAAAATATTAATTTGTTGAAAAGTTATAATTTTTTTAATAATTTATCCGCAAGTTAAATTACTAAATGTTCCAATATTTCAAAATGTTTCCTGCGCATGAGTTTTTATCGTAGCTGTATGAAACTCATTTATATTACAGTTTGAATAAGTATAAATAAAATTGGATATGTTTGAACAACTTAGCACTTAATTTTAAACAAATAAAAAATCAAAATATCATAGTCTTTATATAATTTTTAAAAATTGAAATTTAAATAACAATTTAAAGTAATTTAAAAAATATTCAGTGAGTATTCAGCTTTTATTTATATCACATTGGTTACGGAACATTAGACCAATCATATATATGAGAAAAAAATAAAGATTTATTCAAAACTCATGCGCAAGGAACTTTTCGAAGTTTGAATATTATCGTAAAAAACAACATTGAGAAAAAACAGTTTAACTATAAAAACAGACAGTTTACATAACCTTGTTTACAAATCTTGAAATGCTTATAACTTTGCAAAAAATGAATGAAATTGAAAAATTTTTCTTTTAAATTGTAGCTAGATATAAGTATTATTTTTTGAAACAAAAATTGAAAAAAGTATAATTTGGTCGATTTTTGGGTTTTCCATCGTGAAGTGTCCCCTTAAGTTCTATTTATAATATAAACAAATCAAATGAATTCACTTCATTTCATTTTATAGCTAATTCTATAATTTATTACAATATTTATAATTATTTATAGGTTCCTATGTACATATCAAGACACAAGCATCTATTATCCTTTACCATAAACACCACTATATGGATTGTAGAAACCTAGTCCAGGATGTCCTAGGGGTGGTAAGGGTGCTGATGATAAAGGAGATAGCCCAGGAGGTTTATAAGGATGGTATCTGCTTGCTGCAGATAATGAGCTAACAGGGCTCAAACTAGTGGGATAAGTCCTTCTGAGTCCAGCAGGGGTAGTTAGAGAAGGGGTAGTGTATAAGCCACATGCATCCATTGCTAGGGCTGAAGGCAAGCTTACCCCAGAAGAATAGAGGGGCAAAGAGCCTGATGCCCCAGATATATTGGTGTGAGTCCTTAAATGTTGAAACAGTTCATCCGATGAAGCAAACTGCTTGCCACAGAAAGTACCACCTGCCATCCAACTACAAACATTAGGCCTTGGTATAACAGACGAGGCAAAGGCTGAAGAACCTGGACTGGCAAAACCAGGCACAGGGTATCCGGGTAAACCACCGGGATAAAGGCCAGACATGTGAGCAGCTAGCCTGTCTTGATAGGGCAACTGAGCGGCTAGTTGACAGTTAGTGCAGTAAGGGTCGCGACATACGGGAACGAATGCAGCAGCGCCACCTGCGGCAGCACTCTTCATACGTGCATAGTTCATATAAGGCGAAAGAGCGGATCCAAATGAATAGCCAGCAGCACCTTTCAGAGCCCCAGCAAGAGGATAAGTAGCGGCTGCTGTGGCATCTAAGGGTATGTGTCCAGCTACAGGGCTGCAGCCAGAACAGTTGGCTAATGCCAAAGGATTCAGTCCATTTAATCCGGCTTTGTAACTTCCGAGACCACTAAGAGAGCTAGAAGAGCCACCATCTTTGCCAAGAAGTCCAGTGTCTCTTGAAAAGTCCAGCCCCAGGGAAGAGGAACTATAGGTGGGATCACTAGAAGAGCTGCCACCAGCCCCTGCAGATGATGTCACAGAGGACTGATGAGATTCATGACTAGAAGAAGTAGTGGCACTCGAAGTCGGAGTCTTTTCTCCACCCGATTTAGGTCGATGGTGTATGCTACCATCGGGTGAATGTACACTACCGGGTGTTGTTCTCCTTTCCACCGAAGACCTCCCTAGCAAAGGCGAGGATCTGCATTCCGATGGAGTGTTCCTTTTCGAACTATTGCTGTTGAACCCTGGAGCGTCGTCACCCCTGGACGTTCGATTAGAACTGGTCAGAGAAGACGCGGAGTGCACGCTGTTTGCAGGACTGCAAGACAAGACATCCTTATCTTTGGTTACTCGGATCTCTTCACTGCTGCTACTGCCATTACTGTTGCTGTTGTTGCTACTGGAGTTGCCATTTTTGTCCGATGATGAGTTCTTGGTTGTTGGTTTCTCTGCGCCTATATTGCTACATATCTGTACAAGGAGGGCCAAAGGATTGGTTTTGGAGTCAGACTGAAAAGAAAAGGGGGGAGAAAATTAAAATTTGAACAAAATATTTGAGATTGTATTAAACAAGCACAATAATTGATAATTAATCTCTAAATTTTCATTTAATATCCACGTAATAATATGTTACATCACAACTGATTATGAATAAATTTTTCTGTCATTAGTTGTTAATGGCATACGTGCAAGTTTCTCGATTATGCAATATTTATTGAAATTAACGGAAAGTGATACGAAACAATTATAAAAAAAATTCATCTTAAATATTTAGTATGTTGAAGGCTAGAGGAATTTTTTTTTTTAAAATCGTCAGCATGTATAAAAACTTTAACACAACATAGTTCAATAAAATTATCTGCGAATGTCATAAAATGAATAAGAAAATTCGGTTTTCTTCTAAGAAAGTACTAAGCCACAGTTTTTTGACCAAAACGAGTGAGATTAAAAATACAAAATTCCAGGCATTTAATAATAGCCTGTTAAAATCACGATTTTCGAACATTTTCAAATATTTTAGAAGTTTTGATTTATCAATAAAGCTTTATATGGCGAAAAATTAGGAATTATAAAATATATGGAAAAATTAACTCTCTAGAAAAAAATAAAGTGCTAGGTTTCTTTTACTTCTTTTTTAAAAAAGGGATTAAAAACTCCAACATCTCAGAAATGGACTGACTAGGTTTGGGCAAGTTTCAAATGTTCTAGGAACGCAACCTATATCGTAACTATGTTAAATATTTTGGCGAACCCCCAGAGTTTACCCATGTCAAGGAATACAAGCAGCAGCTGCGGCTATTGACAAACCACTGCCAATCGACCAGGATCGTATTTGAATTGCAAGTATACCAGAGATAGTAAACATAGAATTTGCAACAGAAATATTCCCTATTCTTCCAAAAACCCTTCACTCGGAGAGGGATATATATAAAACTTGTCTTTTCTAATGATCACTTCAAACTGCCATTTCTTTTTTTCCCCAAGTCCAAAGAGAAGTCCAAGACCAATCGATACGAAGTGACCAAAATTATGGCGTCTAAGCGTTTTGTTATGAAGTCTATTTCTCATTGCTGTCAAAAACGTTGTGGTTCATTTCCTCTTGGCGGGATCGATTTTTCCCTTTTTTTCCCCTCCCTCAGTCTCCTGTTGGTGCCAATAAAGTACCAGACTAACAAGCGGGTTATTGGATTTATTTGACAACGATAACAACGGGTAGAACGTTTTCCAATGCGTGATTTTTGTTTGTATCGATAGAGAGTAGTGGAAAAGGGGTTGGAGGGATAAAGATTTGTGAATAAATATGAAATTACATAGGGAAAAAAAGTTTTCACTTTTTCCCTTCTTCTAAAAAAGCCACGTCAATCATTCAGCAGCTGAATATATGACCTTATCAAGTACTTTATGGGACATCAGTCAAAAATATTGAATTAAATTTTCTATAAGCAAAATCAATTCGGAAACATGATTTTTATGATATGTCTGGAAACTTGTCGTTAAATTATTGAGATAGTAAATAAGTTTCTTAATGACAGAAATATTAAATAAAAAAGGGGAAATGTAAAGAACATAAAATGTTGTTTCGATGCTATAACATTAATTTTAACTTTAGGAAAAATTCTCAACTGCTGATCCATAGTTAAATTTAACTTTTTTTATAGATAATTTTTTTAAATGTGTAGAGTTACGATAATATAATTATAAAACGAATATATCATTGAAGATATTTTTCATATCACTGAAAAACTGTAAACACAGGAATAATAATTACACATTGAAGTTAATTGGTGAATTTAATTTAATTTGGAATAAAAAATGTGATTTTAAGTCAAGAATTTGAATAATTATACGCAAATTAAGCAGTATAGCATACTTATATTCGAATGAATTAAGCAGTATAGCAGGTAAAGCACGAAAAAACTTGACATAAAATTTGACATAATAGCTTAAGGTTAGAATAAACAAAGTTATCAAGCCACAACTAGCCAATATTTTAACAACTGTTAACATTATATGACAACTAAGTATAAATTAACCACCCTATTGTACAGATTATATATTTTGAATACAGTCAAAAGTTGTAACTAATAATCGCTATAACTATGAATCTAACTATAAGAAAAATGTTAATTTATATTGTAAAATTTCATATCATATATTGTAAATATTAAATTTCTCATGCTAATAAGAAATAACGCATTTTGTTAATAAATAAAAACATAAGGCGAACTCTTTTTTATGAATCTTAAACATTATCAGAGCAATAAACTATATCATGAACATTAGCACCTTATTCTGAGTTAAGTAAGCTTGCTTCATATAAAGTTTTATTGTAAATTTCAGTTCTTATTATGTGAACTTGCTTTATGAATAGTTTTATTGTAACTTCAAAATAAGCTTGCTTTGTAGTTAGCTTAATTGCAAACATATTAATTCTTATAGCGTGTAAAATTAGTTTGCTCCATTAAAAAAATTTATGTTAATTAAAACTTTTATTATAGAAAAAAGTAAGCTTGCTTTATAAAATTTTACAGTAAAAATTTACTTGTTTAACGAGAGAAAATGAGAGTGCTATGTAAATAGTTTAATCTTAATACAAGAATTCTTTTAATAAGGTAAAATAAACTTGCATTATAAACTGTTTTATTTTAAATTCACATTAGTTAGGTCACTTAGCATATTTATTTTTCAAATTAATTTCTATTTTGAGATTGATTAGTCCTGATGTACTAATTCGATCACATAATCGAAAAAGTGAGTTTGCTTAGAAGAATTATTGTTAATATTAATAATAATTTTGGAAACAAATTATCTTAATGCATTAATTATATTACATTGTCAATTACCCAAGTTTGCTTAGTAGTTTTATAGTACACATTCATTACTATTTTAGCATCATATGAACATGATGCCACTAATTATACCATATTATATATGAAGTGAGCTGAAAGCTCTAATTATATCACATTATCGATAAAGCGAAATTGCTTAGTAAATTTATTAACATTAATTATTATTTTGGAATTAAGTAATCGTGGTGCTTCAATCACATTACTATTTTAACAATACTTAAATCAATTATGTTTTTAGATTTGATTTTAATTCGATTCTCACAATTCTTATCGTTACGCGTATTTATTAAAAGTTCCATATTTAACTTTGGCAACAGCTTACAACGAAAAACGTCACGATTGCAATTTCTCTCCGAAGGGAAAACACTTTAAAATAACTGTCTCACGTCCACAATAAATCAGATATTGCAGCAAAACATGGAAATAAAATAATCATAAAATAAAGACGGCTGGCAAACTTGTTTTCTTCTTTTACAAGTTCTGAAGGAATAAAACGACCTCCAGATTACAGCGGAGAGAGAAAAACAAAAGCTGTGCAAATAAAATGTCGCATTGAACGACCTGCACTTGTGTCGTCTATCTAATGCGATGTCCCGATCTCTGAAATACGATAGGCATTTACGACTTTCAAAATAATAAATCCGAGAAATATGACACTCTCTTTGTAGATATGCTTGTCAATCTTTGGCAAGAAGAGGTGTTAAAACTGAACAGCCAGAGGAAGTGGCATTAAATTATGTCACTAGATGACACTTGTCGGCGACTTAAAAGCAGTTAAAAGCCAAGTACGGTTTATGTACGACAGTAATCAAAGAATTTATTATGCGCTGGATAGAGGTTATAACTCATGCTAATTTTTGTAACTTTATTTCAGTTTTTTTTTTTCACTCAACTTTCTGAAACATCAGTTTAAAAGTCATTTTAGATTAATTAAGCTTTAAAGAAGAAGGAGACAATATTTATTAATGTTTTCAGTTTATTTTAAGCATAATATATTCTGAACGAAATTTAAAATATTAGTCAGAAAAATTAGACAAACGGCAAGCAAAGTCAAGGTAAATTCAAGACCGTAAATTAGGCGAATTTTGTGGTTTATACGAATTTTTTGACTTAATTCACAGCATGTAGAGCTTAATTATAAATTTACTATACTTAAAGAAATCAATCATAATAATTATAGCCAATTTTCTTTACAAATTTGATCTACGGAAAATGTTTATATACATCGTGTTTACAACAATCATCTTAAGTTAACAAATTTGTTAATTAAACGCATTATAACGATATAGAGTTTCTTAGTAATATTTTCAGATATGTACTTAACAAGTTATGAAACTTCGAAATGAATACACAGAAACATCTAAAAATAATACCCAATACACAGAAACATCTAAAAATAGAAATTAGGATTCTTTTTCCAGCAAAAATACGCCGACGAACAGTGTGTGAAAAAAAATTTTGGTTTATCATTATATCACGTAAGTTTATCTGTATTTTTCTGCATAGCGACACCGATATTTTATGTCAGTTAAAAACACATAATTTTTCATGACTTTTAAGAAATAAACCTCTTTATTTATTGCATTTTATACATGACTTATGCTTAACTGGTAAGAAAAAACATCTATAAGGAAAAGCTTAGGTAAAGCTCATTCCTTTCAAGGAATTTCCTGTACAAATCTGATCAACAACAGAGAGAAGTCATCGGTATTTTGAAATGTACCAGGTTAATTAGGATAGTCTCTCTGGCATTTTTAGACTAATTACAATCAATAAATATGCCTTTAAGCAAATTAGGAAATGTGCGAAGAAGTAATCAATCACACAGAATTCGCTTAGGTTTATTGCAATAAATCTTTGAAAGGTGTGTTCATTTTATAGAAAGTTTTATCCTAAAATATGTTGCAAAGAATTTTTTAAAAGATGTTAAAGAAAATAGATAAAAAGGTGATGGTTTTCGAATAAAGATAATAAACTCAAATAAACCAGTGATTTTTCATCTGCTTTCTTTAAAAATTTTACAAAGAAATTCCTGAAACACATTCCATAATAAAATGAACATACTACCCGGAAAATTAACCGAAACTAAATAAACTCGATTTTTATAACCTACGAGCAATACTTCGTTACTTTTTCGTACAGAATTATAGAAAAGTTTTA